CTGCATCATTGATAAGGACTCCGGCGAATTCAGCTTCACGCTACAAAAATACAATCCGGTTGTAATTACGTAAATCTTATTATGTTTAGTGAAAGATATTGAGGAAATTATAACTTACACATGGGCCAAATGCTGATGTTTTTGAATCTGGTTCAAATGTAGGCGCAACAGTTCACACAGTTTCCTGAACTCTGTTCGGCGTTGGTACTTTGAGCAGAATTGGAAAGATTTCCTGGTTATGCGGTGGTACAAATGTTCAACCTTAAATGAGCGTGACATATCAACTACTATACTAACGGTGTAACCCGTCAAGCCACCTGATCGGTCCAAGGGAGAAACGAACCTGTGCATTATTCCTTAACAATTCGAGGCAATTTCTGTACGAATCCCACAAAAATCGTAGCCAAGGCGCAAGTACGGTTCTGTCCATACGATCTTGGGCTGCAGCTCCAGAAACAACTGACAAAAGAAGCCTAAACAACGCATAAATTGTGGGAAACTAATCCTCAGCTACTCTTCTGTAATATACTTCGAACAGCCTTGCGAAATCTCGCAACATTTAGGCGTAGCTTTTCATAAAAAACCTAATTGTAAATTGGCAGCTTAACTTAAAACTTAGATTATCGTTCGAAATTACTTTGAAAAAAAAAGAAAAATTGATGAAAACTTCAGAACATCCACTGTTGCGAGAATTATGCTTAAAAGCGAGTGCTGATTTTGCTGAAAAGTTGTGAGTGATGAAAAACTACTTTCGATCACCGAAACATACCACATCGAAGTTTAAAGAACCAAAATATCAAAATTAACGCCTCTTCACATGTTAGAATGGAACTAGTTTTTGCTGACATGTTCTTTGATATATTCTCGTTTGCGAAAGTTCGATGCCATTCCTCCTACTTGTTGAGTGCTCTGGCGCTATAGCGGCGCCGTCGAATCCGAAAATGCTTCGAGGTTCTAGTTTTAACTGTGGTTGACAGGTATCACAATGCTACTTTTTTTCTTCCGATTCAATCTCAAGAATGGTCAGGGGTTGGCTGTATCCAACAACTAAGCAAGCTGTGGCAGCATAGCGTTCTGATGTCATTTTTTTCCAAACGTTTTCCCTTATAACACCTCACATAGGTATGATCAGTAAGGAGGGGCATACTAGGTTGCGACAGTTTATGTAGCCTACGGTAATACTTTTTTTTTCAGGAGAAGGAAGCTACGGGTGAGCGTAAGAGCGGAGACGGAATATTTCATGCATCGTAAGAATTTCCCCCTTGCAAAAAAGGGGTTGCTGAAGGCGGCGGCATCGCACATTTCACCTCTTCAAGGATGGGCCCCTTTAGATAACCTGATCCACTCCAAACGCGACTTTTAGAGACGCAGTAGAAGCCCTCAATTTGAACAATGACGTCACCTTGTATTGATGTGAGCCTCTTCATTTCAATTTACTTTAGACGCACACTAGCTTTGTATAAGCATACGCTATAAATGTAATTCTATCGCAATAGGATCAATATTTGTAGAAAAAACACTCGGAGCAATTGAAAGCCACCAATAGAAGAGACATAGATATGAATTAAAAACACTAACGTTTCTGGAACATCTCCTTGATCGAGGTCATCGATTTCCTCCACTTTTTCAATAGATGTCTTCTGTGCCTCTTCAGTTTTTTGCTCAGCCATTTGTAAAAAGTGCTCAATCACAGTTTCCAGAGATTTGACCGCCACCTTGAATAGATCAAACTTATGACAACAACACGTTATCTTCATGATGAACTCTAGTAAGTCAACGTACCTGGTGTGTAAGTGTCTTATATTGGAACAAAGCATCTTTAGCAACGTGAGGTTTCTTTAGCACAACACACAGCTCGACATGTTTCATCATAATTTGCTCGTGAGTTTGAGTCCATTGTTTATATCGCCTAGCCTAAAAATACGAAAGATGCCAATCATTATTCATAGATATGATGAAGTGAATTCAAAAGAAAAAAAAACATAACAAAGGCCTCACCTTTATGGTATCGTGGAGCGTATCAAGGGCATCAGATTCCTTTCCAACCTGAATCAACTCCTGCGCCCGTTTAAGGGCAGTCTCGGGTTTTTGAAAGAAATTGGGCGGCATGCTTCTTTACGAAGAACCACCGGATACCCTGGAAATTTCACATCAACCACAACTCCCAAGAACCAAAAACGAGAGCACGCCTAACAATTGGTCAGTTTCGGACAGCAAGAATAATTACCGAATTGAAATCCTTATGTGCTATCAGAAGAAAGCGAATTGCAAGCTTGTACACGTAACAAACAGGTTAAAACGCTATGCATTCGCATTGTAAAATCAGTGACGTTGAGGCTGAGCTGTGCTGATTAAAGGACGGGTGAAAGTTCCATGCGGGACCACCGACGGGCAGCTGTCACCGAAACAGCTTGCGTTGGCGTTTCATGTTTGTTTCATAGCCTCAGCTCTCCAAAAAACCCGTCATGCCTGCCTAACACTGCTTCTCTGGTGGTGCAGGAGCCACACGCGAGTAACAGTTGGTCGCCAAACCAACAATGTTTGAGAATGCTGTCGTTCTTTCGCTGTAGTTGATGTTCATAGATCACGGTTGGCTGCTTCAGCGATGAAGTTGTTCACAGTTTTGGAATTATCCGAATATTCGAATTCACGAAAGCATTACATACGTATCGATCACGAAAACTTGCGCACGCGAACGAGGAACCGAAACGGTGAAACAGCAACGGCGAAACAGTCGACGTGGTCAACTCCGCTCTCTCACCGTTTCGCGTCGACGCATCGAAGGCACGGAACGATGGACCCCCTCAAAATCACCTGCGTGATAAACATACATATATTGAAAAGGATTCGCAGATATGCGTGATCACGGTTAGCCCTACCGTTGGTTCTTTTTTGAGAAATTTCTACGACTTCCCCAGCCCTTTCGGGGTCTCGAAACAACCTCTTCTGTGGACGTGTATTAATGGAAACGGGTCCCATTTGGTAAGGAGGGGGGAATGGTGTGACAGTTCTTGCCGGTTACAGAAAGTCCATATTTTGCAAGGGTAGGGAATTCCCGGAGCAGGGTCAACGGTCGCTGGACAAAGTCCAGCGGGGGTCGTATTCGACCGATGGAAGGGGGTCGTATTCGCAAAGGTCAACGTCGCAATACGTAGATGAGAGGCATAACTTTCAAGGCCTTCTCCAACTATTAACCACTAACGAGTGCATGGCGCACCTCAAAGCAAGGTCTACTCCGAAGCAGGGTGAAAATCGTGTCGAGTACGTGGTCGCAGAAGTACGACCCCCCCCCCGAAATCGAGATCCTGGCACGACCCCCTAAAACAGAGCAAATTAATTCAATTAAAAAAAAATCCTGCAAAATAATGTTATGGACCCCTTTTTGACACATCATCGTCTCTATAGTATTTAATTCTGATACCACTCAACCCAACTCCGCCCACTTTTTCCTCCAAAAATGCCGTCGAGCGGGGGGGGGATACGCGCGCTGAAACGGCAACTTTTTTCCTACGCCCCTCAACAGTTTCACCTCAACTCAAACTCACATGTGGTTTCAAACGACTGAAACGGGTACGACCCCCCTCCTACAAACTCAACCAAGTACGACCCCCCGTTGTTACTAGTAACAACGTAGGGTTGACCCTGCCCCCCACCCCCGAGTGAGGACAGTGGGGGG